CTACTACGTAGGAGGAAGTAAGATATGTCGTACAATGAATAGGCAGGATCCGTGACCCCTTCGGCGGATACATTCATGCCAAGATGAGACTCCGTCCCGCGGGGCGATCCCCCGGGTTCATTTCGTTCTTTCTTTTTCTTTTTCTATTTTTTATTTATTTCTTTTTTCCAGATTTTCGAAATAATATCTTTTTCTGATTTAGTGGATGTTCTATTTTATTACTTTTTGTTTTATTTTAAAATGTATGGGGTAGTGGGGATGGATATGGCTGGTTTCTCGATTCCGGTCTTGGCGGGGCCGGACGGGACGGGGCGGTTGGTTTACTCGATCATCATCGTGTATGAGAATACGGAATATTTGATTTACGGTATGGGATAATTCTATGGAGGGTCCTCCGTACAGTATTCATTGTACGGGGTATCGAGTTTTTCCATGACGGATAAAAATGGTACTCCGTACTCTGAATGACAAGCCATTCACAAAAGTATGAATATGGATGGACGGTATGGGACAGGTATTGAACTGGATATCCCTGGATGGCGTGCTCAGCAGGAGGGATGGTAAATATCCGCTTTTCTGGAACGTATTTTGAAAGATATTTTAAAAATATTTTTATTTTATTTTTACTCCATATTCCATTTCTATCATCCCCATATGATAGAGAATGAAGACGTCACCGCCCTATCGCGTCATCTCCCCACATGATGAGTTGAGCCCCCCGAGGCCGAACGTAAACTCAAATCATCCACCTGGTCGACCGTGTGCCGTCTGCCAGTGCCAGTTTGGCCAATGGGTGCGGGGCCCCATTTATCTGACAGTCTTCTGGGAGAGGAGCACTCTGCATAGTATCGGACCGACGGGCCGGATTCTCTCGTCGAGAGGACGGAGTTGAGTACCAGGAGAGTATGATATACATTAAACGAATACACATTTATCTACATCAAACAGCATTCCTGAATAACTACTAGAGGCCAGGTAAAACGTTCTGGAAGAACGCGATCGTCAGGAGAAATGATGCGATCGGAGGGTGGGGATGATGCCATCGATCCGGACGGGACTACTGCAGTGTGAGACTCCGGGATGTACGGAGGAGGAGGTAGATCCTGGTCATCTGTGCCTGACTAGGGGGTGCTTGGGATTCTTAGCCTGTTTCTTATATAGATGACGTTGATGTTGATATGGGGAATTACGTCCACGGAGTACTTGGGTATCTCGAGGGAGATACAATAATACTACATCTATCTAGGGCTGACTTAGTTTTCATAAATTCCACGGAGAAATTCATGTATCACAATACCATCTTGATATTACATACAGAATACGGCCTGATACAGATATAGTCAGGTGGACAGCGGACCACGGTTCAATATCACAGCGTGACTTCCCCGGACTCGTCATTTCAGCGTGGGATGAACTTAGTCTGATCCAGGGATTGATCAAACATCCTATTAACTCGATTGTAGTTATCAGCAAGATGAGATGAGTAGATAGATGGATCAATAGTCTCGATTTTTAATCAGAGATCTCAGTCGGACTCCGCCAAGGCAGATGGAAGTCCGCCAGTGTAACCGGAGGAAAAGCGGATTGCCACCTGACCCAATGGTAATTTTTGATACCCGTTGCCACTTTCTCCTGGCGAATCCACCGGAACGACCGCCGAGTGGACCACGGGTGGTCACGATGGACTCGAGAACCGCTTGACCTACTCTGTACTTTGTACTCTGTAACTCTGTAGCTGCCTTATCGGAGAGGAAGTAATGACCTATCGGAGTTTCTCAATATTTTATGTATTCTATACTTCGATTGTATGTACTCTGTATCATGTATCATGAGAGCGGTCAGGATGCCAAGCGCCAAGCGCCAAGACACTAGCGGGAGCGTAATTTACCAATGAACCTCGTAATTCCGGTTAGTCTGGGTTAGTGGCCGTTAGCTGGAGACTTTCTGGAGTATGTATATGGGTATGGCATATGGGGATGGATATGGGGATAATATTCAATTCCATTCTATTCTCTAGAGTATTCTGATATGGAATGAATATAGTATTCAATCTGTAGATGGTATATCTGTAGATGTATGGTCGTGATGATGATCTAATCAATCACACCATTTCCCCCGTGGATGGTTCCATTCAAGCGGTGACATACATGTTATTTCAATCAACACTAGTAAGGAGGCAAGTCACCTTTTTTTCTCTCTCTCGTCTCTGCTCTTCTCTTGCTCATCCTTCATCCTTTCATTTTTCTTCTTTGGCTCCACTTTCTCTTCCTTTCCTTCTTCGCTGGTTTCTTTTTTGTTTCAATTTGACCCTTCTCCCCTTACCCACCATTCGCTCCCAATTACTTATATCTGCGGATCCCCACCACTCATCCACCCACTTTCTCTTTCTTTCTTCCCATCTATATCCGTTGGGCTCTCTCTTCTTCCCTTCTCACTATTCCCTCCTCCCTTTTATCTTTTTCATAGGGTCTCTCTCTTATACTGTCTCATACTGTCCAACTGGTACCCCAATCTAGTCCATCATGTCGGACAAAAAACCCAATATCCTCTACATCATGGCCGACCAGATGGCGGCCCCCCTCTTGCCTTTCCATGACAAGTCTTCTCCCATCAAAACGCCCAATCTGAACCGATTGGCGGAAGAAGGCGTCGTTTTTGATTCCGCCTACTGCAATGCGCCGCTGTGCGCTCCCTCGCGCTTCGTCATGGTGACCGGCCAGTTGCCCTCCAAGATTGGCGCATACGACAATGCGTCCGACTTACCCGCCGATACCCCCACCTACGCCCACTATCTCCGTCGCGAGGGCTACCACACGGCCCTCGCCGGCAAAATGCACTTTTGCGGTCCCGACCAGCTGCACGGCTACGAGCAGCGTCTGACCAGCGACATCTACCCGGGCGACTACGGCTGGTCCGTGAACTGGGATGAACCGGTATGTTTCTCTTTCTCTCTGACCTATGTAATGGTTATGCTAATAATGTAGGACATCCGCCCTGATTGGTACCACAACATGTCCTCCGTCATGGAGGCTGGCCCCGTCGTGCGCACCAATCAGCTTGACTTTGACGAGGAGGTTATGTACAAGTCCACTCAATACCTCTACAACCACGTCCGTCAGCGCAACGACCAGCCCTTTGCCCTGACTGTCTCCATGACTCACCCCCACGACCCGTACGCCATGACCAAGGACTTTTGGGACCTCTACGAAAACGTCGAGATTCCCCTGCCCAAGAATGGCGCCATCCCTCACGACCAGCAGGACCCCCACTCGCAGCGCGTCCTCAAGTGCATCGACCTCTTCGGCAAGGACCTGCCCGACGAGCGCATCCGCGCCGCCCGCCGCGCCTACTACGCCGCCTGCACCTACGTCGACACCAACGTCGGTAAGCTGCTCACCGTCCTCGACAACTGCGGCCTGCGCGACAACACCATCGTCGTCTTCACCGGTGACCACGGCGACATGCTGGGCGAGCGCGGCCTCTGGTACAAGATGACCTGGTTCGAGAACTCGGCCCGCGTGCCCATGATCTTCCACGCCCCCAAGCGCTTTGCCCCCAAGCGCATCCCCCAGAACGTCTCCACCATGGATCTGCTGCCCACCTTCGCCGACCTCGTCGGCGCCCCCCTCATCAAGGAGCTGCCGCTGGACGGTGTCTCGCTGCTGCCCTACCTGACCGGCGGCGAGGGTCTGCGGACCGACACCGTGCTGGGCGAGTACATGGCCGAGGGAACCCAGTCGCCCGTCGTGATGATCCGCCGCGGCCGCTACAAGTTCGTCGCCTCGCTCATCGACCCCCCGATGCTTTTCGACGTCGAAGCCGACCCGGAGGAGAAGGTCAACCTCGCTGCCGGTCTCGCCGCCAAACCGGTCGCCGCCCCCCCGGCCAAACCGGCCGTCAGCGCCCCGCTCGGAGTGCCCGCCGCGCTGCCCACGCCCGCCGACTCACCGCACGCGTCGCCCGTACCGCAGCGCGTGGTGCCCGCGGCGTACCCCTTCCCGACACCGCCGCGCACGCCCAGCCCCGCGTCGGCGCTGCCCGCCACGACGGAGCCAGCCAAGCTGCTCGCCTACTTCACCGAGGAGGTGCAGGCGCGCTGGGACCTGGCGGCGATCCGGGAAGACGTGCTGCGATCGCAGCGTCGCCGCCGTCTCGTCTACTCCGCGCTGCTGAAGGGCACGCCATCCCTCTGGGACTACGAGCCGCGGGTCGACCCGAGCACGCAGTACGTGCGCAACCAGGGCAAGGGAGCTCTCGATGATGTGGAGTTGATCTCGCGCTGGCCGCGTGTGTTGCAGCAAGCGGCGACCGCTCAGGGGATGCCGGTCTAACGACCTTTTTTTCCCTTTTTTTTTCCCCCTTCTTTCTCGTTCTTTGGCAACTTTTCACGCTTTTTCTCCGAGACATGATGTTTCTGGGGAATGCAAAAGTGATACTTATTTCCTCTTGTTGATTGGCTAGCGCGGCGTATACCCGGCATCGGAAGCATGATTAGATTGATTGTCTATTGGCTATTGGCTTTTTTATATTGCTGTTTATTGGCTTTTATTGTCTGTTTATTGGCTCTATCTCATGGCTCTATCTTAATTGGCTCTTCGTTGGTCTTTGTTATCTTGATGTTGTACATAGGATGCATGTATGTATGATATACATCACAGAATGTTGATAGGTTGTACACAGGATAACGGTTTTTGTAGTGTAGAAGCAGTCATATAGTAATATTTCGAGCTTCTTCTGTATCATTTTACCAAAAGTCAACTTCGACTGCGATATACCACCCCGATTATATATATCCGCACCACATACGTGAATAATTAGACATCACGACTCACCCCTCAACAATTGGTGCAAGTGTTTAAAAGAGATAACCTAAAACATGTTCACATAATAATATTATAATCCTCTTATCATAACCCTACAGCCGTCAATCAAACTACATATAAACCTCGCATCTGGTTATCTCCTACTTAACCGTAAAAGCAAATGGCTGAGTAAGAACGGGCAACGTGGCCGAGCGGTTAAGGCGTAAGACTCGAATTCGGGGTTCATTCCGCGATAGTAATCTTATCTCTTCGGAGTCGCATGTTCGAATCATGCCGTTGTCGATTCTTTTTTTCTTTTCTTTTCTTTTCTTTTTCTTCAAAACCGAAAGTTTATTTTTGGGGTTTTAATTATTTATCCGAGGTAACTACAATAAGGCGTGGACGGATAAGACATTTCCCCGCATTATCTACTTTATTCTCCGATGACTATTTAAGTATTTAAGTATCCAACTACACTGTAGCAATCTACCTTATACAAATACAACATATGATATACACAATACCCCAACGAAACAAAAAGAAAGAGAAGAAAAAAATGTCCATCAAAATAGCCATCTCCCAATCCCGCACCCTCTCCACAACCTCCTCCACCCTCTCCGCCCTCTCCCACGCAACCCACAAAGCCTCCAAGCAAGGCGTCCACCTCATTCTCTTCCCTGAAGCCTACCTAGGCGGCTACCCGCGCACCTGCTCCTTCGGCAGCGCCATCGGCGCTCGCCACCCGCACGGCCGCGACCAATTTCTCGCCTATTTCCGCTCGGCCATCGACCTAGGCGACACGCCCGCCGGGGCCGGCGATGACTGGGTGAACAGACGGCTGCCGCTGCCGGAGACGGGCGGCGAGCGCGGGGACGGCACGCGGGAGACGCTGGAGAGGGTGGCGCGCGAGACGGGCGTGTTTATCGTCACGGGTGTGGTGGAGAGGGCGGGGGGTAGTCTCTACTGTGCGGTGCTTTATGTGGATCCTGTGCGGGGGTGTGTTGGGAAGAGGAGGAAGGTTATGCCTGTATTTCCCCTTTCCTTCTTTTCCCTTTCTTTCCCTTTCCCTGTCCTCCTATATAAGAGGGATTGAATACTAAACAAGGTGAAATGAACAGACAGGCTCTGAACGCCTCGTCTGGGCCCAAGGCTCCCCCAGCACGCTCCGCGCAATCAAAACCAACCTCAACGGCATCCCCGTGACGCTCGCCGCCGCCATCTGCTGGGAAAACTACATGCCGCTGCTGCGGCAGAGTCTGTACGCGCAGAACGTGACGATCTATCTAGCCCCCACGGCGGACGCGCGCGATACGTGGCTCGCGCTGATGCGGACGGTTGCTGTGGAGGGGCGGGCATTTGTGGTCAGTGCGAACCAGTGTGTTCGGTATGGGGAGTTGCCGGAGTGGGTTGATGGGGGTGGGGATGGGATTGGTTTGTTTCCTTTTTTTTTTTTTTT